TTTATTAAATTATCAGCGATAGTGTGCGCTTCACCTGCTTGTGCAATGCGATAGCTAACTAAATATGATGCCTCTGTGGCCTTTTCATTGATAGTTTGGGTTACATGCATCATAGTTTTTTGACTTTCCAATAACTGTTCTTTTTTACGTACAAAAAATTCTTTATTCTTTTCTTTAGACTCAGGGTGTACAGTTTCTAAATGTCGGCGCAACTTGGCAGGTGCCATGGAACTATTAGGAAGCAGTTTACTACATAACAGGCAGACAGGTGAGCCTTTGGAATCAACAAATCCGAAACTGATATATGATTCACCATACTTCCTTTTTTTCGCCTTTAAAACCATGGAACTTGACGTCGTTGCATAATCGTCTGGATCGGTAATTGCTGTATACTCCGCGCGAACTACTTTTGAACATTCGGCTAGAAGATGTTGCAACACGTTTAACGCCTTTAAGCCAACGTTCCATTCTTCTTTATTAATAATGTTACATGTCAGGATGGTGGGGTCAAAATAACGCACGATCGTTACTGCGTAAAAGAGTTTAGTCCAAAGAAGAAATGTACAATCAGAATACAGCAGTAGAACAATAAACACTTTGTTTCTAGCAGGTAGGTACTTATCACTCCGAACACTAATCGTCAACTAACTAAGCGTAGAGGCGCGGCGCGATCGCCGCTTTTATAGTCTAAGCCAGATTTCGAACATTCTCAAAAATACTCGAATCGGCGAGCTTGTTTACAATTATTGTTAATCTCAGGGGCGGCTTTTATCAAAGGGACTCGCACTCACAAGTAGATATCGGCGGTGGCGGCATAGTAAAATTGTACGAGGCGAATTGTATATATATGTATGTGTATATATGTATGTGTGTATGTATGTGTATGAATTGTATGTATGTGTATAAATTGTATATATGTATGTGTGCATGTATGTGTTCGGCTGCGCTTCGTGAATCGTGATACGCCGCGTCAGAACGGTCGACCAGAGAGAGTTGTTTGGAATTTTTTCTAAATTCTTGCGGAACCCCTACAGGGATGTCGCGGAACCCTAGGGTTCTGCGGAACACACTTAGAGAATGGCTGCTCTAGTGTCATGTCTTAAAATAATTCTTGGAAACATTTTAATTTGCTTATATACGGTTTCCAACCATTTCTAAACTTTTTATCAAACATAAATTAAAATCGACATTAATAATGATCATTGGGCTAATTTACTTAATGTGTTTAGGATCTTTAGGTTAAATATTTTATCTCTCAAGCACAAGAGTTAGAAAGTTTCTGTCATATTGATCTAAACTCAATATATTGTAATTCAAACGTGTAGTTTTAAGTGACCATCTTGCCTAGACGTAAGTTGGATATTGATGAGTTAATTGCTTCTTGTTATTTGAGTGTCTCTCCTATCGGAGATTGGATATCATTATGGCGATTCTAATTTTATTTACTGCTGTTTTGAATAATTCGTTAGTGGTACAGCCAAACCACTCTCTTAAATTTCTCATCCAGGACATTCTTTTACGGCCTGGATTTCTGCGTCCTTGGATTTTTCCTTGCATTATATTTTGTAGGAATGTGTACTGTTGTCCTCTCATCAGATGGCCTAAGTATTTAAGTTTTCTCTTTATTATATTCATGATAACCTCTGGATCGTTATTTATTCTGCGTATTACCTTTTCATTTGTAATTTTATCCACCCAACTTATTTTTCTTATACGGCGGTAGCACCACATCTCAAAGCTTTCAAGATTTTTAATATTACTCTGTTTAAGAGTCCATGCTTCAACCCCGTAAAGCAAAGTACTGAATCCAGCATTTTAACATTCTAGTTCGTAGATGAATACTAATATCACGATTACAAATTGCAAATGTGCATAAATACTTTACCATGGAGAGACAATGGCAGACCTTTAAAGTAAGTAAAGTAAGCTAAAAACTGAAATGAAGACTGTCAGAGATTCTCAAGAAGATGCTATTTTGACTGTGTATCACGAAGACAAGAAACCAACTCGTAACAATTCTAGGAGCATTGACTTACCTGATGGAGAAAAATTTGAAATTCACAGTATTTTTTATCGAATGCGTGAAAACAATCAACCTGTCCTTAAATACTTTACTGGCCAAAATAAGAGAAAGACAAGTTAATGATATTAAGAGATCTAGGAGTTAAATTCAAAAAAGAAAGTAATAGGTTAGTTTTATGCGAAAGGAGTAGTGTGGTTCACAAAAAATTATATTTTTGAGAGAATATACTAGATTTAAATCTGAAAATGCAACATTACTATTCTTAGATGAGACATGGATATTTGCAAAGGGTGGAATTAAAAAAAACATGACAAGACGATAGCATAAAATCAATAAAACACAGATAGCAAAGGCAAATGACACATCAGTCTTCATGCAGGACGGAAAGAAAGCTTTATAGAAATCGCAGATTTAATTTTTTCTTCAAAATCAAAATCTGCCGAGTACCATGAAAACATGAATGCAGATATGTTTGTTAAATGGCTTGAGGATAAACTGTTACCTAGTCTGAGTGAACCATCAGATATACTTTTAGATCATGCACCTTACCATTCGGAGATTTTGGAGAAACAACCAAAACAGTCGTGGAACGTACCGAGCATAAAAAATTGGTTAGTAAAAATAACAATTTTCCTGAATACTTTAAATTTAAACAAACAATTTTTAACGGGGGTTTTTACCCATATATTTAGTGACTCAACACATGTATACCTAGACACTGATGATGGAATATGGATTCCGAAAACGTTTTGTGATATAGCACGATTTTGTTTTTTAAATTATATACCTTTTATAAAGGATTTTTAATACAATTTTTTCTTTCTATTACATTTTCCCAATGACGAATTTCTGAACTCAGAACTTTTCTTGTTTCTTCGTCTATGCTCTTATTCTAATCTAATTACAAGGTCTACCCAACTTTGCTGTGACTGTAGATGAGTTGGAGACTTAGCGTGGCTGGACAAAGCTTCAGCCATGTTTCCAATTATTATATGCATTTTCAGTGAATATAATTTTGACATTGGAAAATATTTTACAGCAAAAATAATACACAGAGTTGTTGGGTTTAGAATAAATTAACCTTTTTTCTCAACAGTTTCCTCCATTACACATTTTGTAACTGCAGTAGTTAGTTATAAATCTACGATATACGAATAAATAAAACACCAAAAATAAATCATATGTTACTTTATTTGTCAACTGTAGTATTAAAAATAATACCTAAGACAAGAACACAGCTCATTTGATAATGTTCGGCAATTTTGCAATATGTCTGCATATATAAATTATTACACCTAGAATAAATATGAATACCTAACTTAAGCTAGATAAATATAAAATTATTTATAAAATCTATAATAGAAATTAACTTGGCACAAAAGAAGGAATAATAAATACTTTGGGAAAAATAAGCATTGGCATTGAAAAAATGTAAGTCGAGTAGGACAAAAGCGCCAAACAGAAAAGGCAAGAGGAAACATACTATGTATCTAATAAACTGTTTCCAATATCCACCCATACCGTTTTATAGAAAATCCCAATAATTTGGTATGATAGTCATTCAGATTTGGTTATAATAATCAGTTAAAACTTAATTTAAGTACATTTTTACTACTAGGCACCTTTATTTGGAAGTTGAGATGTTACTTTGCTCAAGTAACATCCCTAACACATTGCTGATTAACTTAATCTTTTTATGAGCACACTCAAAGAATAAAAAATAAAAATAACTGGTACTTCGTAATACCGTCTTCTATTAGAAAATGCTTATTAAGTTTATCTTTTTACCACGGAATAAATATTCATTTACCACATAAAAGGAGTTCATGTTTAATAAAAAACGTATTAAATCAATTTTTTATTTAAGATATTTCCATTAACTTTTATGTACTATTATCCGCTTTAAAGCGGGGATTGTATGTTTTTTTGTCAGATAAAACAATCTCATTAAACATGTTTTGTTTCCAAAATAGTTTTTGGTTAGTTATTATGAATTTTCATGTTAATATTTGACTAAATTAAAAACAAAAAGTAAAATTCACTTCCTTTTTGGCGCCTCTCATCTGTAAACCATTTGACGTGGTTTTGGTAAGTACATGTGCTAAGATCATAAAGATGCCATATCAGTTAGATTTGACCAACATTGTTTATCCTACTTTCTATTTCCTTTTAATAAAATATCGGTGTTTGTCGAATACTTTAAATTTAAATGCATTTTTTTATTTCATTTTTCCTAAAAATGTTTCCTTTATAGATTTCGTGGATTTGTGGGATATTGGAAATAGTTTGCTTACCATTAATAAAGAGATTGATACGATACTCTTAAACACAAGTATTAAATATAAAAAAATGTTTTAAAACATGTATGTATCCATTTAAACTGTTTAAGACCGTATAATATATTCCAGTGTAGTATATTCTTACAACATTTATTTAACCATATTTTTTCTTATTTTTACCTCTGGATAACCAGTATTTTTAGACCTTTACCCTTAAATGCCACACATTGTCAAAAAAATAAATCTAATCTAATCTTTAAACCAATCTTCTATTGATTTAAAAACATAACATAAATTTGTATGTTGTACTAGTTATCTTTAAAAGAATTCAGTATTCTACAAGAATAATTTTATCTTGATAATCCTAAAACAATTTATTATTGTTAATAATATGTTTGCAGATATTTTAAAAACAAACCTGATACTAAAAAAAATTAAAATAAATTAATAGACCCATAAAATTAGGCATAGTTGGCATCTGTTGTAGAGCATATAAAATATAAATATTAGAATATAAGAATAATATGTGGTAACCTCTTGTTAATTAATTGTGGAAGATATAAAAGATAAGACGTTATAGCAGGTATAAAAATTGACAAGAATATGAAAATTTGAAATAGTAGTAATAGATAAAAATAGTTCCAACTAATATATATATCACCAAAATATATATATATATTTTTAAATAATGTTTCTGAGATTTATTTACTGCTAAAAACAAAATACTAATTAAAATAAATAAATTGTAGTGGTTTATCTTAATATTCATTATTTTTAATGATATTAGCAGATACGCAAAAGAAATAAAGAACCAACATAAATATTGATGTTCTCATAAAGCCTCTCTACTGTGCCTGTGTGTAATTGTTTGGTGCATTTAGCCGTCATTGAAATATATAAAGTTTCATTAGATAAAATTCCGTAATGTTTTGACAATAATATTACAATAAATGTCATCTAGTATTGGACAGAGCTTTCTGAAATTATACATTGTCAATGTTTCTAACCAATAGTTAATGTCATGTGTATGTAATAATTATTGAACATTTTTTTTTAGATGCACAAACAAGTAGTCACATAACACAAAATATAAAGAAGATAAACTTAGTTCACTTCGTTATTCGAAATTGCTTTTATAACATTAAAAAAATAACATCGTCATTTTTTAATTTCACAAAAAATAGTGAATACAACTTATTCATTTTTCGCATATGCATAGTATTAATACAGATAATTTTTAGGTATTTCGTTTAAAGGTTCGGCACAAGTTCCCATGTTCTTCATAGTTACCAGAGACCTTGATCGACAGTTTTCAATATCCAAGAAACACGTGTTGCTGTATGTCATATTGTCTGTACCGCATACGGGGTCATAGTATGTTGGGCAAATCTTTTGGCATCCTTTGAATTGGAATCCGGCGATACACCGTTTCATGGGGACTACGTATATGTGTTTCCTATAAATAAAAATTAAATATTTTGTATATATTGTATATTTGAATTCTTACATATAGTGCTATAAACATCCTTTTTTATTTTACGGAAACCCTTTACATAACAAAAATAAATTTTTTATTCGAGCTACAATACAAAATGAGGCAATAATTGAGCTTGTTCAAGCGAAAAATGTAGATCATTATACAGCATCTCACTATTGTTTTTATTACAACAACTAAATCTGCATGCGTTCCATATAGAGCTAGTATGTAAAATCTAATCTGTATAAAACCAGTTAATTGTAAACCTTTCATTCGGTTTTACTTATATGTATTAAATAATCGAGCAATGCCGTAGACTAGTTACGTCGTAAACCACGGGAGCCATGATTTATTTTCCTTTACATCTACACATATTATTAACCAATGGTGTCCATATCGTAAACTAAATAGAGCAAAAAGCAGAATTCCATATATTGGTTTTTTGTAAATCAAGCACGTGTTTTACATCAGTTTAAATAATACTAGTTATACTTCTTCTTTTACTAAGTTTTTCAATGTGCCTCCAGTTGTCGTTCTATCGTTTCCGTGGTCTTCCTACTGATCGTCTTTCTATTGGGGAACAGTCTCTTGCTGTCTTTACTACTCTATTTGTTGTCATTCGGCTTATATGATCGTTCCATTCTACTCTTCTATTTCTTAGCCAGTTCTTGATGTTTTCTTCTTACTTCTTACTTCTAGCTCTGTCCCATAGTGTCTTGCCACCAATTTTTCTAAGTGTTTTCATCTCTGCTCTTTCTAACATCCTTTTTGCCCTCTCTGTGTCAGGTCGTGTCTGATGCTTATGTCATTATTGGTCTGATGACTGTATTGTATTGTATTATATTGTATTGTATTATTTCATTTAGGCAGCCTGCGGCTCTGTTTGCTCTATTCACTTGATCTTCAACATCAGTTTCGAGCTTTCCGTAGCTAGATAATGTGATGCCTAGATATTTAAACTCCATCACTTGTGTTGTTCTATTATCTGACCTCGAGGCTCCAATTAACATCTTAGTAAATTTGCTGTTGTAACCATACATTTTGTCTTTTTTGGGAAAGATAACATGCTACATTTTCTGGCAGTTATATTAAATTGGTGCAGCATACGTTGTAAATCGCCCTCGCTTCGAGAGAATAGTATTCCGTCTCAGATTATTGCATAGCAGATTATTTTGTTTTTCTCCCATTTGGTATTCTTTTTTAGTTCTTATTATTTCATCCATAATCAGGTTGAACAATAGAGACTCAGGGAATCTCCCTGTCTTATCTTATTGCATGCTTCAATAGGGTCGGTTAGTTCTTCTTTCACTTTTACTTTTATTGTATTGTTTTGGTAAATATTTTCGATCGTTTTGATTATTCCTAGAGATATCTCTCTTTCGTAAAATAAGTGGATAACGTCCTTTAATTTGACCCGGTCAAATGCCTTCTTAAGGTCCACGAAACATAGATATGCTGGTTTGTTGTATTCCAATGATTTCTCTAGCACTTGCCTCATTATAAATATAGCGTCGGTGCATAATCTTCCCTACCTGAAATCTTGTTCTTCTGCTAGTGTTATAATTTTATTCAGTTTACTTGTTATCACTTTGGTTGTTAATTTTAGTGTTGTGTTTAATAAATTAATTCCTCTGTAATTTTCCGGGTCTGATTGGTCGAAGAGAGGTATAAGGATGCTTGTTCTTCATTCTTGAGGAATTCTGTTTTCTTATATTATTTTTTGGATTAGGTTCAGTAGTTGTGTGGTCAGATCTGGCCCTCCGTACTTTAGGACTTCTTTCGGTATTCTGTCCTCTTCTGGTGATTTTCTATTCTTTAATTTCCTTAATGCTTCCTTCCTTCTTCTCCTCCTTAATATTTATTTCTTCGTTTGTCGTCACCTCTAGTGTTGATGGTTCATTATCGTCATCTTAGTTATACTTGACTAATCTATTAAGATCAAGCTCGGTTAAATTACTAGAAAACTGGAATAAGTAGTGTCGGTTGTTTTAAAAGCAATGAACTGGGATCATTTCTTTACCGTTAGCCTGTTCAATTAACCCCCGTAACTCATTTTTATTATCTGTTATTCTCCAGTTTCTAGTTTCGATTTGTCTCAGACCTTCCTATACTTGGTGTATATATCGTTTTTTTGAATCGCCCCTTCGATCGCTTTCCCAGCATGTGTTGTTAGGTTATGATTCTTGTTGGTTCAGAGTGTTCCATAGTGCATGTCACGAATGACACTTTGGTTTTTTTCCATAAAAAATGTAAAGTTCGTGTAACCTTTTGGCTAAGGTCTAGTGTTAGGGTTTTCAGGTCGCGCAAGCGCCCCTAACATGACTTATCGACTACTTTCATAGCCGGGACCGACGGCTTTACGTGCCCTTCGAATCACGATGGCAGCTTAGTTAAATTAGAAATTGAAAATTTTGTCGGTTCCGTGTTTCGAACCCGAGCCCTCCAGCTCGTTAAGCCAGTAAAATAGCCTCTGAGCTATGGCTGCCACGTTTTTTTCCACGGAAGCCAGTTGGCATATTGTACATGTTCCAACCACTCATCATACTCATTCCAGGGTTCTCTAACCCTGTACCAGCTTATACAGATTTAGAGGATGTGTATTATCTATGTTTTTGGAGTCACTCGGTAGTCCCAGAAAAATGTTTGCCATTTGCGATCTAATGACTCGCAGTCATTGACAAGATGTAGTTGACGCTTTCAGGTCATCCGCTACAGCGTCTGCAGTTTAAGTCTTCATGAAACAGGACCATTGTATGCAGGTGTTCCTACTGGCGCATTCCAGTAAGGAAGCCGTCCAATATACATTTTGCCATGTGCTTGACCTAGTATGTTTTCTCAGTGAGAGTTATGTTACCTTCAGATGCAGGCTTTTTTACGGTCACGGACGTTCCTTTCTATCACTCCCACGGCCGACTCTGAACTCCGAAACTATTTTGTAGCTGATGTTTTTCTGGAAAGTTGATCATCTCTTTAATTGTTGTTTATTACCCGGTGACCTGGAACCCATACCAGTGTGACACTGTTGTGTTGCGTCAGTCTGTATAGTTCATCTCTGCATTCTCACAATTGCTTAGGGCCTATGAGAGCCCTCTGTGGCTGCGTGGCTATCCGTATATATTGATCCACTTCAGTTCGAAAGTCCTTATGTCAATATCTTCTGCGTAGTGCCCAAGATTGCAAAAATCTCTGCCTGAAAAACAGAGGTATATTCTGGATAAGATAAATGTTTAAATTTCTGCAATCTCGTCCGGTCCCGGTGTTTTATATGGCTTAAATGCGTTAAATGCGTTTATCCCGATTTGATTTTCTCATTAATTCTACCTGAAATACATGTCAATCAAAACACAAGAGGCATACCGTAATTATAAGACAATTAGAAACGAAACACATGCACTTGTAAGAAAAATAAAAAATGATCACTTGAAACGCTTTACGAAAGGAATGGAACAGTATTTTTATGGTCTGCAAAAGAAAATATGACGCTTTAGTAGAGGTAAAGGAACTAACAGAAGCAAAACATAGTAAAGGGTATATGGGTTGAGTACTTAAAAAAGCGTTATACAGAGGAAAAACAAACTACACTAGAACCGGAAATACAAGAAATTACAAATAAAGAACTAAGGAAGTTCGTAAAATATTTAAAAAGCTGAAGAATAGAAAAGCAGCAAGTAAAGACGGGACACCAAACGAATTACTGAAATATTGTGGAATAGAAATGACAAAACAATTAACAACAATAATTAATAAAATTATAAATCACAATAAAATACTCGAAGAATGGAGAACGAGCGAACTAATTCTACTAGTCAAAAAAGTAGCCATTTCCCATGACACCTGCCAACCCAACAAGACTCATTTACTACCCAATTACCCCCCTCTCTCCTCCGGGTTTGGGAATGGCAACGGTATAATTTTTTTACTTAGTACACTATCGAGCATAAAATTAGAGTACTGTGAAGTTGTAGAAATTTTTATTTTTTTTCGTATTTGAATTGTGTAACAGTTCACAGTTTGCTTAAAAAACTTGCTTTTTCGATCAGCTTTTTGACAAAAAAAGGGTCTTATACCCAAATTCTTTACAACCATACAGTTTCAGATGTTTTAAAACAATTTCAAAACCTTTTTATAACGAGATAGGATTAAGAAATGCAACTCCTAGGCAGACGCAGACTACGACCAAAGATAATCTGGAGAGGAGTCGATACGGAAATTGGGGAACGAAATACGGCGAATAACGATATAAACCAATCGAAAAGAATAGAATAAAATTTTGGTGTCTAATATAACTTTTATTATAGGTAGAAATTAAAATTACAACTAGATATATGGAGGTGCAGATTTAAATAGCTTGAAAAAGAATATACTGAGGAAAAGTGATTTTCTTCAGTCATGACTTAAATGTTAAAACATTTAAGTCGTAAGTGTGGCTCTATTACTCAAACGCTCAAAAATCGTAGCTTACGTAGTCGTAAGTGTGTGTTGTAAGTCTATTACTCAAACACTCAGTAATTGTAGGTTACCTGCTATGAGCAATAAGTTGCAATATTGCTCTTAAATGATTACAGTTGATGACTAACAGGATTAAAGTAATATGAATACATACCCGCAATTGTTTCGTCTCATTTCACATTCGTTTTTATAGAGTTTATTATCTGATCCACAAACGAAATTTTTATCATCGCCACATTGTTCATTACAAGCTGCTGTAGTCCGGCAATGATGTGATGGCACTTGGATTACTAACTGCCCACAAGCTTCTTTTTTTAGATGACAAAGTGATCTGTAATTATAAATATATTGGTAATAAACTGCAATATATACTTTTTAAATAATTTTATTTGAAATTGTAGTCTGCACCATATAACTTGCATGCACTTTTTATAATTTTTTATAAAGAATAACTTTTTTTTTTCATAGAAATAAAAATAAAAAAGTTTCCCTTAAAGATTTCAAATAGGTACATTAATTGGATACCCTGTATATTATTAGTGTAATATATTTTTGAAGTCAGATTTTTACAACATTAAAAAGGAAGTATCATATGAATCTCCTTTGCTATTAAAAGAATTAGGGTGTGGCTGTCACCTGAAGATGGTTCATGGAAATACCAAAACTTTGATATAGTTAGATATTAGAAAAAGTTTAAAATCGACGTGTCCGAGTGATTTTGTTTTATCATTAAAATAAACGAGTAGTCGATGGGGAGGGGGTAACACTTTATTATTAAAAACCGAAAAATCTGATGACAGATCACAAACTGCCGATACTGCGTGGAATAACATACGACATTAATTAATAGTATTCAACGGGAACTTCAAAGTCTTTCTTCAAGTGGCCTGTGCATCTAAGCATCTAAAATATTTACAACTAATTGTATGATCTCTATTTTATATTCTGCTGCTCGCTGTAGGTACAAGATATATAAGATAATTTCTTTCCAACTTGAACAAGTTTGTCTTCAGTTTGGTTCGATTATTAATTATTGCATTTCTTATTATTATGTATTTACAATAGAATATCGAAAATATTACTCTAATTGTATAAAATTCGTTTGCCTATGAGATTCGTTTATCCTTAATATATAGTTTCTTGGCCAGTACACCGTATTTTTGGCATTCACATATAGCTTCCAATCTTTTACACCCAACAATAATTAGAGGCTACAATTCAACATTATCTGAGAGCATACTAAAAATAGCATTGGTATATATTCATAAGGTGAGAAATTGTTATATCATGTACTGATATTTTAAGTTTTATTTAATTTTATTTATACCAAAAATGGCCTGTATCCATAAAAATTTAAATTGAATAATAGTTTAACCTATTAATGTATGATCATTACATCGATATTTACTTAGTTCTTTCGTCAACATTATAAGTCTGTTCCACACAAGCATCATCATCATCAACCTGTACGCGTCAACTGCTGGACATAGGTCTCCCCCAGCTCTGTCTGTCCTCTGTCTTGTGCGGCTTGCATCCAGTTACTGCTAAAACGCTTCAGGTCGTCAGTCCATCTGGTTAGTGGGCGTCCTCTGCTCTGTAGTGCTTCTTGTCTTGGCCTCCTCTTGAAAGTACGTTTTGTCCATCAGTTGCCTGATAATCTAGCGACGTGTTCTGCCAATTTCATTTTAGCGATGCGACTTTTTTGATAGCGTCTAGTTTCGTATTTTTGTTCTACGACATATTTCTTCGTTTGGGATTCGGTCTTTTAGAGAGACATCCAATATCTGCCGCTCAATAGTCCTCTGAGTCACGCGAATCTTATCCACTATCTTTTTTGTGTTAATGTTTTCGCTCCATTAGGGTGGCCGCACACAGAAAGAGCAAAACTGTTTTAGTCAAAATCGTTTTTGACTAAACGAGTCTGATGCTGATGTTTCCATATAAATTAAATGAGCTGACGCACACTAATTAGTCATGTGTCTAAAGCATGTTTAGGCTCATTTAGTTTCAGTGAGTCTGTTTGATGTTGATTACCAGATCGTCGTTTTTTGTCGAAACATTTAATTGTAGGCAGGCGCAACGTGTTTTTGAAATTCCCTTCTTGAAACCGCTCGAGTAGTCAACAAGAAGCATATGTGGAAACAGAGATATTTTGCTTGTTTATATTGTGTGTATCATGGATGTGCACGCAAAAAAATTAATTGTACTGATTGAGGCCAGACCTCCTTTATATAACTATCAATTAAAAGACCCTTAATTGTTGAAGCAAAGATTGGAGAGTTTTTTTTAGCAGTTCTTTTCTCATTTACAGGATGCACCCAAAATTGTCTTTTATTTTGCGTTTTTTCGTCCTTTAGGAGAAACCACTGCCAGAAAACTAGTGTAATTTCGTCGTTATCTGTCCAAATCTTTAATAAAACTGATTGCAGTATGGTTTATGCAAACATTTTGTTTCTTTTGAAAACAAAATGTTTCTTGTGGAAACAAAAACGTTTTCGTTTCAAACAAAAACGTTTTTGACTAAAACAGTTTTGCTCTTTCTGTGTGCGGCCACCCTAAGTGAAACCATACCATACAGGTAACACACAGTGGTCAAAGATTTTTCTTTTGAGACATATAGGTAGGTCCGATTTAAATACATAGTTTAATTTACCAAGCACTGCCCAGGGTAATCCTATGCGACGTGGGAGCTCAAATGTCTGGTTATCTCTGCCCAAACGAATTTCATGTTATAAGTACTTACACGATGCAGTCCGCACAGTATCCCTTTTATCAACAGCAATATTTCGATTTAGCACCAAATTAGTCATTATTTGCGTCTTGTTCATTAGTTTGACCTCCAAGGAAGCGTGAATTTTTCCAACATCATCATTGCATCATCCATATGATCGGCGATAAAGGACGAGGTCATCTGCATCTCAAATGACTGAGCTTCTCTCCATTTATATTGATACCATACTCGTCCAGATATGCCTTGTTACAAGCATGTTCTAAAAGCGTCGTAAATAGCTTTGGAAAGACGGCGTTCCCTTGCCGTCGTCCTCGTTGTGATTTATTTGTTTCTTGTTCAGATAGTCTTATGCTAACTGTGGCATTTTGGTAGATATATTTATCGAAACTAACAGAACGGCAGTTTTTTAGATCTGTTATGCCCCTTTGCTTGTGTAATAAAAAAATGACTGCATTGTTCCATTGAGAAGGGGTTTTCCTTAGTAGATACATTCGGTGAAAAGTTTGGCTAAAGCCTGGATAATTTTATTTTCACCTTGTTTGATCGGTTCGAACACAAATTCATCATTTCAAGGAGATTTTTTTTTTCTTAAATTGTTTTAGTTATTTCTTTTGTATTGTTTTCTCTTACGTCTTTTCGGATTGTTTGGTGGATCTCTTTATTTAATTTCTTCATTGTTGTATAGTTGTATTTTTCGGCAGCTGTCTTCTTTTACCTAATAGCTCTTTGATATTTTGGCTTTTTCTTTATGGGCCACGACATTCAGGAAGCATTTCCTTTCCGTTTCTTTTAGTGTCTTCGTTATGCCATCATTTGCTTGTTATATATCTTCTATTTCGTCTTCCAAGTCTTGTATATGTCTGGTTAGTATATCTTTATACAGGTCTTCGTTTTCGGGGAGAATCTTTTATGTTTGTAGGATCATCTTGACTCTTTTAAATTTGACATTTAACCTTATCTTTGCTTGGATTAATCTGTGGTCGCTTCCTATTGAAAATTTGTTGAATACTTCGATGTCTTAGATTATTTCTTTTCTCTTTGTTATCTTACAATTTATTTCATTTTTGACACTGCCATATGGATCTGTGTCCATTTGAGCTGAGACTTTTTGTCGAAAAAAGAGTTCATCATGGATAAATTTTCCTGGTGTAGCAGGTTCAGCAATCTTTGCCCTTATTCATTTCTTTCGCCATATCCATACTTGTCCATTGCTACTTCTGCATAATCTTGTTTAAAGCCCATTTTCGCATTAAAGTCGCATAAAATGATTATGTAATATGCTGTTGTAGTATGTAATGCTGTTTCTAGATCTTCATAAAATTAGTATATAGGGTAGTCGTTATAGCATATGTTTGGATTATTTTAAGGTTATATCTTTAGCATTTAGTTTGAAGATGAGATATACAATTCTCAGGCTTATGCTTTTTTTTAATTATGTATATTTTGTGTGTGCTTTTTACGTGCCAAAAAATGTTTACCTGAAATGTTTACAATGTTTACTTGAAAGGGAATGGCAAAACAACGAGCCGTAATTTAGGATACGCGTAAACTCATCATTAATTAGCATAAATGCACTCGTAGATAGTACACACTATCACCGCAATAAAACCAACATTTTAAAGTAGACCTGAAAATATTTGCAAATTGATCATTGGTCTATCGGTAATAATAAATAAATTTCTAATTACCTTAAATTTAAAAGTACCCGCTAATGATGGCATGAACTACTATGAATTGCTATATCTCAGAGGGTCTAACATTTTTATGGGGGGCTATAAAGTGATGCAGTTTAGGATCATTGTTGATTTTGTTGATATTTTTGGATTACGCATTATTGGTTCATAGTTTTTATTATGTTAAAAATAAAAGTATTTATTGGTTGATTACTTACCTATATACATTTCCATCAGATCCACAAATGGGTTCTTCATCAACTTCTTCACTACAACTCATTGGGCATGGTTCCTCTTCTTTGAGTTTGGTACAATTTCCTATGTGCGCAAACTGAACTCCTTTCAAACACGTTGCCAAATTTAGTTGACATTGATTCGTGTACGTCCTTGCATCGGTACCGCAGACTGGATCAACATCATTCGAACATTTAATTTTGATGCATTTGGATATTTTTGCTCGGCATTTTTCGTAGTCAACTTTTACGACTTTCCTATTATTCCTAAAATGGAAAAATATTAAATGAGGCTTTGTTATAAGAACATTACATGATTATTTGATGAATATGGTGAAACTCGTAGAAAATAGTGTAGTTGACAAGCATAACTTCTTTTTAGTAGTTGTCTCGCTTTCTTCTGTATATTGGAGCCACGATTCTTTACAGTGCTCTAAAATTTTTTTCTTGTGGTACTCTTTATGTGCTTATATTATTGGAAGTGAGAATCGATGAACACAGAATACCAAAGAAAGTATTGAACTGCACACCGCATGAAGAAAGAAAGCAAGGTAGACCGAGATTAAGTTGGAGAGAAGGAATTGATAACAACTTAAGGGAGAGGGGAGTTAAAGGAAACCTTTGGAACGACCGAGATAAATGGAGACTGGAAATCAGAAGACTGCGTAGAACGTTATAAACTGATTGATTGATTAAGTAAATCACAAATAAGAAAATACAGCGTATCGGTTATACTTCTATATCGGAAACAGTTCTCAAGATACAGAGATTAAGAATTAAGAACGATTTCTTCTCTAATTATAATTCTTCAATTAACTTAATATACTTTTAATCTGCCTTAAAATGACAATTCTATATAATATATAGAATGGATAATAATATATAGAATGGATATTCTATATAATATACAGTATGGTGGAAATGAAAGGAATAAATTCGTTATTTCGTAAACCGGAGATTTTAAGGAAAAATCCTGAAACCCCTCGATTTTTATTTTTAAATAAGCTATTCGTAAGAATACATTTTTATTTTTGACGTCATCTATGTGAGCATGATGACGTCATTGCTAAAATTTTTGAATAGAAAGGGGGTATTGTAATACATCATTTGAAAGATCTTTTAAATACCTATTCAGCCATATCAATATGTCTGAGTATTTGATGTTTGTAATTGTTTACAAAAAATATTAAATTTTTATTATTACAATAAATATTTATTAAGTATTATTCAATAAATACAACGAAACCTAAATTAAGTGCTCAAATTGTTTATCTTCAGCTAAAATATAATGAGAAAGGCGTGCCGCGAACACTTCTCTAACATTCTCTAAAACTTCCGGAGTTATTTGAACAACCTCATTACGTATTCTTTCTTTTAGTTCAATAATATTTTGTGGTCTATTTTGATACACCTTACTTTTTAAATATCCCCATAAAAATAAATCAAGGGGAGTCAAATCAGTTGACCTAGGCGGCCATTCTATTGTTCCTCTTCGACCTATCTACCGATTTGGAAAGACGTTTAAGTAGTTGCGTACCAAGACAGCATAGTGTGGAGGCGCACCATCTTGCTGTAGCCATAAATCATTTCTGTTTGGAAACAACCGGTTCAATTCTGGAAGCAACAAATTTTGAAGAAATTCTAAATATTGAGGACCTGTTAAGTTTTCTTCGAAAAAGTATGGTCCAATAAACCTATTATCTATTATTCCCACCCAAACATTAATTTTTTCTGGGTATTGAGTACGGTGCTCTTGCATCCAGTGTGGATTTTCCGTAGCCCAGTACCGATAAGTTTGACGATTGACATGACCGTTTAGTAGAAATGTAGCTTCATCAGAGAAAATAATATTTTTTAAAAACATCGGATCTCTGCTGTTTCGTTCCATTATAATGTCACAAAATTCAATTCGTCTATCAAAATCATCTTCCATAAGTTCTTGTACTAAACTTACTTTGTAGGGATGCCACTTTTAATTCTTTAGCTATTTAAGAACTGTTGAATGGTCCATGTCATTATCTAATGGTACTTGCCGTGAACCGTTATGAGGATTGTCTTGAAAAGCTAACAGAACGTCTACTTGTTGGTTTTCGGATATTGGTGTTCTACTACCTTCAGGAAGGTCTTTAACATGACCCGTTTCTCTAAATTTTTTCTCAATTTTGCTTACAGTGGATTGTGAAATTGGTTCTCGACGGCGGTATTTATTATTAAATAACGCACATACTTCTTTCTGCGTACGTGTTTTATCTCCATAACCAATCCTTATGAGAATTTCAATTCTTAGCGTTTCAGTTAGATTCATGTTCAAAGATACAAAGACTTTTTGGAAACGTTTACTACAATAATACTATTAATCACTTGACAGAAAGATACTTAAGTTTGAATGTCCAACTATCAATGTTAACTAATGATTTGGTTAAGCTTGTCAGAGGTTAACTAATGTCAACTAATTTAGTAATATTCTATAGCATGCGACTCATTTAAAATGGTGCTCCTGGCGATAAACGAAAGATCCGAACAATAATTGTTTGAAATATGAACCAAAAAATAAAAATAACCAGGGGATCCTGATAGCGCTCGTTTTAGTTATGAATATGCGTGACAGGCTAAAAACCATTTTTATTTATTCAGTATGTAAACAAGAACATCTCTGTATTGTTCATACCGTCACGGATTTTCTGTATGAGTATACTAAGTATACTAAGTAAAGGAAGTTAGGGCAAACGGCAAAAGGCAAAAGCGTCTTTTTGACTGTGTAAACACAATTCTCAGATAATCACATAAAATGTGGTAAACTATATTGCCCTTCATACATTTCGTATAAACAACGAAGTTTGGCAACGTTGAAATCTTTTATACTTCAACTGTCAAGCATACACATTTTCTTTAACTTTCAAATTGGGTTGATGGTGAAATGTTCCGTGGCAGGTTAATAACTAAAACTTTCAGTGTTTTATGAGAAAGTTCGGTAAGTTATTAACTAGATAATAGTAGAAAACCTGTATTTCTTAAAACTTATCTTAAATGAATATTTTAGTAGCAGAGACTCACTGTAGGTACATTGTGCATCATTTCCACCTGTTTTAAATGCGCACTAGCCCCGCAATAATTTAATTTGTTTTTTCTAATTTTAGATAATGGTACGCGATTATCAGAGAAATTCCTATAAGGGTTTAGGGTATTCAAAGGCGCAGTAACAAATGCATGTAAGCATTTATAATAGGACAGATTTCCACTAGTAAAGCGTCTTTATTGTACCATATTCCTAAATCAACTTTACTAGATCACCTTACTTTAAGAAGGGGTAAAAAGTTTGCGGATTTGGAGGACCAACTGATCTACTACCAGAACATGAATAAAACATCACATATTGTATAAGAACTATGGAAAAATGAGGGCTCGGTCTATCCCAAAAGCAGATATTATCAAAGGTGAAAGATTTTGTTAAACTAAGATTGATTTATTAAGTTTCCAAATAGAAATGAACTGCCCATCACAAATCTCAAGTGGTTGAAGTAACAAGACAAAAAGTTCTAGATTCTTTTGTAATTGGAAATTACTTTGATTTACTAAAGAATACGGTGGAATAGTTAGTGCTTGCAGATAAACCAAGATAAGTATGGAGCTTAATGCGAGCAGTTTTAGTTGTGATCCATCTAAAACAAAAATTGTTGGCCAAATTCAAATTCTATGCACATACACACGCACCACGAGTACTTCCGGAAGACGAAATACCACCGTTTTAGATAGCATGCAGGGCAGAATGGGAAAAGGCGACTACGCTAATAGTATTTAAGGGTAAGGATGTTTATGACGAATGGACCGCCCCTGAATTAGATCCAGAGAAGCCCCTGTTGTCCTAAGCGGTCATCGAAAATGGATGGGTGGAGAGCGAAGTTTTGCGCAATTATTGTAAAAAGATTCTTTTAAAACAGTTTAAAGATCGCCCTGTACTTTTGATACATAATGGCCACGCTAATCGATAATGCAGTAAAAGAAAATCTACAATTTTAAAACTTCCACCACACTCCAGTCATTTACTGCAGCCGTTAGATTTGACTATGTTCAAGTCTATTAAAGACTCTTGAAGGCGGAAAATAGTACATATAGTGGCGAAGACACAATCCTGCTAAAAAACAATGGAAAAACATTTTCACTGTAAATGCAACGTGGTCTGACTTAAATCCTGACATAATACGAAGTAGTTTTAGAAGGGCAGGAATTTGTTCTTACAGCAATATCGTTATTTCTAAAGATAAATACCAGCTTATAATTAATGGATGCGATACACAACATGTTACATCCGAAAATTCAGCTGAACCTTTAAATGAGACTACTATAATTAATTATCCTACAAATAATAATAGCTCTAATGAACATGTCGAGCTCATTGCCACAACTAGTGCAATCACGTTCGAAGAATTCCTTGTGACTTTAATGAAGGATGGTCAAATATAACAAAAATTAATTATTAATTAACGAAAAAAAAATTAAGAAACGCAAACAAAAAATAGGCAACCAGAATCAAAGAGTAAAAGAGATATTCAACCAGACTATAACGAAGAAAACGATAGAATATATAGTGTCAAGAATTGAAGAATAAAATGATGAACTATTTGAGGAAAATGGCAGTGCTGATAATGCTGATTGTAATGAATGGGTTTTTGTTTAATTTTCAGGGAAAATGAACATAAACCATTACGTCTGACAGCTTAAAAAAACGTCGCAGAATCTACAGCTTTTCTAAAGATTTTGAGAAAATCAGGATTACTCAAATAGAAATCTGTATTCCAGTATCCTCCTTCTTCTTTTTGTAGTACCTATCCGTTTCTGATGTTAGCGACCATCATGGCAATCTGTATTTTGCAAACTTCTGCTCTGAAACGATTTGTGGTAGTTGTGTTGAACCACGTACGTAGATTTTTTAGCCACTAAATCCTTCGCCTTCGTGGTCCCCTTTTTTCCTTCTACTTTTCCTTGTAGAATTACTTGCAGCAATCTTTCGCTGTTCCTCATGATGTGACCGAAGTATTTGATTTTACGTCTTGGTTAGTAACGTGGTTGGTATAGGATATCTTCAGGATTCGACCATAAAGCCACATTTCGAAAGCCTCAATTTTCTTGCAGCGTCTGTGAGAGTCCACGACTCAACTCAGTACAAGAGTATATGAAAGATATAACATCGTAGAAACCTGATTTTTATGGGCGCTAATAAATCATGGCATGTGAATAGCTTAGCCATTTTTTGAAATGCGGATCTTACTTTCTCTATCCTACATTTCATTTCTAAGGAATGGTCCAAATTTTCATTGACATTCGTACAAAGGTAGGTGTATGTTTTTACTCTTTCTATTGGGTAACCATTCACACTGATTCTTTCAATTTGCTGTTCCTTGTTAGAGCTCATCATACATTTTGTTTTCTTAATGTTCAGTGAAAGTATATATCAGTGAAAGTTGTACATATTTTACATTTTATGGTTATCAATGAAGCATTCATTAATATCGCAATTCAAATATCTAAATCGTTGAAATAGCACTTGTATGCTAAAGGGAGCCTCGTTGGTACCCACTGCGTTCCGAAAACCAAACTGTGTACGGCTGCTTTTCTCTTCGCATAGTCTATATATCCTTGATGTATAATTTTTAGAAATAACTTTAAAATGTGGCTCATTAAGCTGATGGTCCGCAAATTATTGCAAGATACGGATTTTGTTTTCTTTGGTAGAAATAAACGTTGACTTCAGCCATGATCTTGGTATTACTCCGTTTAGATATAGGACGTAGGTTGTTCGTACCTATTATCATCAATGAGTTCTTGTATGCATTTGGTCCACATGCATATTTCTTGATTTTTATCTGTGATGATGTTCCCCTGTTGATCTTGCAGTTTGCTAGCTGTGTTGGATTTTTGAAGATCAGTTACTTGTTATACCTTTTTATGAATATTAATTGTATCGTGTTTGTGTTCCAACAACTCTCTCTTCACACTGTGTTTGTAAACAATTTTCTTTGGCCGTTTGTATTTCGGTTCTTATTTGTATCTGAATATTTTTGTACATCCCTTTGTTATTCTTTGATTTTCTTCTTGTTTCCATGAGTTGCAGTATATTTTCATTCATCGAAATGTTCCTCTTCTCTTTATTTTTATTAGATGTTCTTCTCTAATCTTGTTAAAAGTTTCACATATATTCTGGAGTGATTCTTCAGGATCACCAGTAGTATCCTCTACTAGATGATATTGCAACATGTATGACAGATGATATTATCCTGTTATTACCAAAGCCAGGCTATTGTCAGACGCGGGAAATTCTTATTTCTGCGGTTTAATAATTACTGTGTCCAATAAGGACAAAATGTTTTTGTATTGTTTATGTATTAAGTATTAAATACTATTACTAATCAGAGTTTTAGTTTAAAATTGTAAAAGTTGCATTTTTTAAACTTTTATAACAGTTAAATCATTTTAAATACTAAACATAAAGTATATCCTTCAGTTAAATATATTTTCCTGTTAATAAAGACGTTCAAACAAGAAGAAGTCTTTCTTTCAATTATGTTTGAGTTGGTAACTAGTTACTTGTTCAAATACGTTTGTTCAACTTTGTAGAACAAGTTACTTGTTGGGAACTTAACTGAATCAAGATAAATTAAATCTGAAAAATTCATATCCAAAATCTGAAAAAATTGTTTCAAAGAATATAGATGGGTAAAAAGCAGTTGCCACATATTATTTACAACTATAACCAGTAGCTTTTTTAAGACTTGAAATACACTCACCCCCAGGCATATTGGTCAGACGTCTAAAAAAGTTGTTAATTTCAGATATTTACTCTTTAACAAAATACATTATACATACTTAATCATAAGGCTCAGAAGAATCAAATAAAAATAATAACAGTATCATATTTCATGAATTTGATGTTTGACAACTATTTTATTTCCGAACCAAAACTTAATATATATCCGAACTTACCTTAATATATTTTATATAGACGTTTTCATCTTTCTTGGCGTGTGCGTGTAAAAACACTTGCAATAAGTTGTTTCATCTGTCTTTGCTTGTCTAAGCTCGATTCGTTTACCTCCTCCAGTGGCAGCTATCTGTATTCGTAAAGATGCCGAACTTATCACCGACACCGTATCGGCCAAACGCATCGGTGTTATTGCTACAATACTGGGAGACGTGAGTGGTCTCTTCATTCCCTTCTCATCGCACTTTACCACGACAAACGTGACTCGCACAATTGAATTATGCATTTTTGTATCAGAGAGAGACGAATATTAAAAATTCCGTAGTAGCTTATTTCAGGCACACGCCAAGAACGATGAAACCGAGTTTATCATGTTTAAATTTAAAAATTTTTTAGAGCTAATGTAAAATTTTATACATTTCTTTCCGAGAAGTAAAAATATTGTAATAATATTATATCTAAACATAAGTGTTACAAGATCATATAGAATCGAGACTGGAGCGATACTCTTCGTTAGATATTTTTACTTACCCACAGTTAAGTAATTTTAGTTCACATTCGCTTCTGTAAACATAACCATCAGAGCCACAAGTTGGTTTTTCTATTTCATTCTTACATCCAGTGGGACAAGCAATGCTATGGGCAGTTCTTTCTTGACTTGCGCAATACGCCATAGGTACTTCAAATACATGTTTTCTAAAAACAGAAAATATAAAAACTATATATCTGTATTACAAATATAAATAAATAGAAATAAATTAGATAAAATTTGCAAAATCTACAATGTTTTGATTTAGGTGTCTATTATTAAGATATATTATTTCTTCTATGTTGTCATCTTCTAATCTCTAGTATCAATAAGTCTGTCACAACTTCATCTAACCACCTAATTCGCGGTCGACCTTTGCTTCTTCTTCCTATAGATGTTCCTGTCGTAGCTTTTTAGCAATCATGTTGTCAGACATTCATATTATCTGTCCGGCCCATCTAAGTCGCTGTGTTTTAATGAACGCTACGACATCTGGTTCATTAAAGAGTTGGTATAATTCGAAATTAAATTTTTTGCGCCACGTTTATAGCTAGAAATATTTTACGGAGTATTTTACGTTCGAATATTCCCAGAAGTCTTTCATGCTTCCGCGTTAGAGTCCATATTTCCGCACCGTATGCGAGGACCGGCCTCAGCAGTGTTTTGTACATAATAATATTAGTTTTTCTTTGGATATTTCTTGAGTGGAATTGTTTTTGGAGTCCATAGTATGGCCTATTTGTAAGGTTTATTCGTCTTTTAATTTCTTGGCTTGTTTTATTAGGAGTCACTAGCGAGCATACCATCAAAATTAATAAGACTAGTGCAAATGACAATGACAGAAACAGAAACACATGTATGTATTCAAGGACAGATCACTGATGCGTTTATGACAACGCAAGGACTGAAACAAGGTGACGGACTGGCTCCAACACTTTTTAATCTTGTTCTTGAATATGTAATTAGACGGTTGACGGTGGGCAGAAATAACATACTTACAAACAAATCTACCCAATTAGTAGCATACGCAGATGACATAAACATAATGAGCAGAACAAAGACTGCAGCAGAAGAAACCTACGTTCAGTTGAAACAGAGTTCAGAAGTTGTAGGGCTAACAATAAATACAAATAAAACAAAACTACTCATACAAACCAGATCAAATAGACAGGCGCAACAACAACAATTTATAGACGATATAGAATACGTGAATAGATTCACGTATTTAGGAATGGATCTGGTCGAAAATAATGAAGAAGAACCGGAAATAAATAGAAGGCTTATGCTGGCAAACAAAGCCTATTTCGCGATGGGCCACATATTCAAATCGCGAGACGTACACCGGAAAACAAAACTCCGGGTATATAAAACAATAATCCGACCCATAGTAAGTTATGGGTGTGAAACATGGGTTATAACACAGAAATCTACCAATGCATTAGACGTGCTCGAAAGAAAAATATTGCGTAGAATACTGGGTCCAATAAAGGAAAATAACAACTGGCGAATTAGATATAATAACGAAATATACGAACAATACACTGAACCAACACTAGCACAATACACTAGACTGCAGAGATTACGATGGGCAGGCCATGTGGCCCGCATGCATGAGAACAGAATCCCCAGAAAATTACTAAACGCAAGAATGCAAGGAAAAAGACCTGTTGGAAGACCAAAAAAGAGATGGAAAGACGAGGTAGATGAGGATGCCAAAAATCTCCTAAAAACACGTTCATGGAAAAGAACAGCAGTAAATAGAGATGTTTGGAGAGGTCTAATGAAGGAGGCCAAGGCCCGGCTTGGGCTGTAGTGCCATTGGATGGATGGATAGTCACTAGCGAGCCAAGGTATGTGAATCTGTCAACACGTTCAAAGATATGACTTCCAAATGTTGTTTCCCGTTTTTCATTTGCTATAGGATCCTTAGTAACCAATATGTACTTCGTTGATGACTAGACCGACCTGTTTCACAGCAGTTTCCAATTTTAGGAAATATTGCTCAACATCTCACTTGCTACACCCTAATATATCAATGTCATCAGCGTATGCTAATATTTGTATTAATCTATTGTAAATAGTACCGCCGCCGTCTCTAATTCGTGTGTTTTGGACTGCCTTTTCCAAGGCAATATTAAATAGGAGGCAAACCGGGGCATCCCCTTGTCTGAGTCCGTCCTTTATCTCAAAGGATCGAGAATTTTTTACTTGTATGCTAACGCTAGCTTTTAAGTTAGATATTGTCATTCTCGTTAATCGGATAATTTTTTCTGGTATACCAAACTCACGCATTGATTGAACAAATTTAAATCCAAAAGATTGAACAACACGGAGTTTATGAAATTCCTTGTACAGACTGCTCCCGATCCTATATAGGCCAAACAAATCGTCGAATCCAAAAAGGATTTATGAATATTCCATTTCTGTTCGTAGTTCTGACGTAGTATAAAAACCTCCAGAACCATAGCCTACATCCGTTTCTATAAACCCAGAATTTTCCGAGAAGCCATTGGAATCGAAAAAATGCCCAACTGTCTCAATAAAAGAGATGACGGCAAAGATATGACCTTTGACATTGAGACCTCTCAAATAAAATATCGTCTCCTAGACCTGCTAATTAAAATTCTACTTTCAGAAATGTTAGCGCCAACCTCCACTCACCATCGATGGTATAAATGAACCGTCCGAAGTTCCCAGTAGCAGTAATGCATTGGTTAGTAATATAGTAGTGTCTTATATGGGCATGCTATTGAATTTTATGTGCGAATTTCACTTACCCACAATTTTTGGATTTCATTCTGCAGACGTTGGCGTATATTTTTCCGTCAGATCCGCAAGCGGGTTTAGCATTTCTCCAACAGGATTCTCGACAGTGACGGGTTGTCTGACAATACTTCTTATTAGTTCTTACAACGCCTTGCCTGAAATAAACATGATATAATAATAAGATAAACAATTATGAACATAATACTGTACTCTTCTATAAAATATTATAGAACGTAAATATCCTGAATCCTTGTTTTAAAGAGAGATTGTTCTAAATAATACATTAATTGTACAATTGAAGCTTTAATATTAACAGAAAGTGTGCAGATTAAAGAAAACAAAAAAGTGTAATAAATTGTGCAAAACTGAGAAAGAAAATTAATAGTGTCCAAAAACAAAATGATTTTTGCATTTGTTTGTTTTTTTAAGTTTCTAAAAGAACGGACCAATTCTTTTATACTGGAACTACAACTAACTTAGGTATAAGGTCAAGACGAGTCATATTTTATCATTCTTATCACTTTCATTTTTAACCTACACATTTTGAAATAATTAACAAATTTTCTCTTCGTCTTGTCTTGTTAATACTGGAAAATATTTTTGGTTTATTTTTTATGATTGGTTAACATTTTTTTAAACAGTTTGTAAGCGTTACTTCCTTTTGGTTATTATTTTTTACTCATCTAGCGTTTTTGTTATCTGTTTTTTCTACCATTTTTTGGTTGTCAAATGAATACAAGTACTCACTACCTACAAGAATCACTTGTTAGATTCCTCAGAAAGCCGCTCATAAATTCATTCTTAAACCTTTCGCTGGTAAGAACAAGCTACTGCTTATGACGAGCAATTTCAAATTAATTTTTGCCCATACTACGAAGACCCTTTACTACTCATGTAGTGATAGCACAGACCCTCAACACAGACATGGGGTGGGAGTTCTGATAAGCGAAAATTTGTGCGTCTCCGTGAAGAACTTTGTCCCGATCTGCGAAAGAGTCATACTTATTCAGTTGCATGGAAAAGTTAACATAAATATTATATAAGTCTACGCCATTACAGCAGACAAGCCAGAAGAAGAACTAGAGCGATTTTATCAACAGCTAGACGAAGCCTTAAAGGTGACTAATAATCACGAAATTAACATCTTATTAGGAGACTTTAACGCAAAAATTGGGAAGGAGCCGTAGATCACGTAGTTGGAAAATATGGTCTTGGTCAGAGAAACGACAGAGGGGACAGATTGATACAGTACTGCCAAGACAAAGATCCAGTCATAACAGGAGGCTTTACACATGAAAGTCGTCTTTAGACGGACATCAGAGCATTATAAGGAACCAAATAGATTATGTGACAATTAATAGAAGGTACAGGAATGCTATTACTAAGGTATCTGCATTACCTGGAGCAGACATAGGATCCGACCACAATCTCTTAGTAGCAAATATCAAACTGAGGCTCGCTACAGCTAAAAGAAAACACCGGAAGTACACAGAGGAAATAAACAATAGGTTCTCTAATATGGCAACTGAGGATGATGTTGAAAAGTCATGGACCACCATAAAAGAATCATTTGATGAGGTGAACAACACTTTTCTACTCGAGAGTAAAACAACTACCAAGAATGAGTGGATGACAGAAGAAATATTAGAGATGATGGAACAACGCAGGCAGTGTAAGATTAGGCAGGACAAAGTAGGGTACCGAAATATATACAATCAAATTCGTAAAGAAATTATAGCGGCGAAGGAGATCTGGATGATTACACTTTGCACCGAGGCTGAAAACCTATATAAACTCGGCGACAGCTTTAATCTTCACAAGAAAATTAAGGAAATTGCTGATGTCTTCAAGAAAAAACAAGTCACTGGTATACATAATGACCAAAATGAACTAATAGCGGATAATACTGGAAATGTACACAGCCCATTTGTTCAATGATGACAGAACAGAAAAACCACCACAACAGGGAGACCATTTGTATGGCCCAAGTATTTTGAAAGCTGAAATTGTAAACGGTATCAAACTATTAAAAAGTAAAAAAACCCAGGACCAGATGATATGTACGCAGAAACAATCAAGTTACTTAATGAAGAAAACCTAGACATTATTGCCAAGCTCTTTAACGACATCCATGATACGGGTCAGATTCCAAAAGATTGGCTTCGATCTACATTTATCGCCCTACCAAAAACACCACGTCCGAACTTTTTCAAGGACCACCGACTAATAAGCCTAATAAGTCACTTTTTAAAACTTTTCCTGAGAATACTTCACACTAGATTGTTTAAGAAATGTGAAGAGGTCAGTGGATGGAGTCAGTTTGGTTTCAAAAATGAACTTGGCACGAGAGAAGCGATCTTTAGTATGCAAACAATAATACAGAATTGTTTAGATCAAAGAAAGGATGTTTTTGTCTGTTTCATCGATTACGAGAAAGCATTCGATAATGTAAAACACGAATTGATGATAAAATACCTACAAGAGTTGGGATTGGATGCCAAAAATATATGAATTATCACCAATCTGTATTGGAACCAGACAGCAACAGAACGTCTTCAAAATTTCAACGAAACAGAAGATTTCTCCATTAAAAAAAGAGTAAGGCAAGATTGTATACTGTCTCCAATGCTGTTCAATTTATACGTAGAAAAAGCCGTCGCAGAAGCAGTGGCAGACTCTAATAAGGGTATTAAAGTTAATGGCATATTTATTAATAACATCAGGAATGCCGCTGATACAGCCATATAAGCAGATAACATCGAAAATGATAGTGCCTTTTAAATGATCTAACTCTTGCAAGTGAAGCTCGGGGTTTAAAAATAAATATCAAGAAGACAAAAACAATGATTATAAGTAGAAATGATAACCCCAACGCAAAGATATATGTCTCTGGAGAAGAAATCGAACAGGTCAGGCAATTCAAATATTTGGGTTGTTTGCTGAACGAGGGTTGGGACTCCGAGAATGAAATAAAGAGCAGAGTTGAACAAGCCAGAAATGCTTTTTTGAGGCTTCGTAACTTTCTGGCTGATCGCAAATTGGACTTCAACCTCCGATACAAGATGCTTAAGTGTTACGTGTGGCCTGTTCTCCTATACGGAATGGAAGCATGGATATTAAAGGCCAGTTCCATTAACAAACTTGAAGTGTTTGAAATGTGGTGCCTGCGTCGAATGCTTAGAATATCACGGACGGACAGTGTCAGAAATGAGGAAGTACCTACTGAGAAGAGCGGACTTACAGGATAGGGAACTTTTTAGTTATGTAAAAAGTAAGAAGACTGCATACTTGGGGCAGATATTACGAGGAGAAAGATATACTTTTCAGGAACTGATACTCGAAGGGACGATAGAGGGTAGGAGAGGTCTGAGACGTAAAAAAATGTCATGGCTGCGCAATATTCGACAATGAATAGGAATTCACAGCTATTGAATGCTTCGTAATGATGCTAAAAACAGAATTATTTAATCCTGAATATTTAACATCTCACCTGATAAGACGATGTACGGTGGACGCCTACGTATAAATGCACGGCACCTTAAGAAGAAGACGAAGACTGTCTTTAGTAGCTTTCATCTAATAAACTATTTTAAAATAAATTTTGAAACGGTATTGGTCAAACTTCGATAAAACCACCGATTACGTCACCGCCAAAAAATATATTCTCCAATTGTAATGTAATGTGTAGTGTGACATTGTGAGGCTGTCTAAGTTGTGTAATATGGTCCGTTGCTTCGGTCGCACTCGGAACATGTATTTCCACCGCAACTCATGACGCGTCGTCTTCATCACTCTCTTTTTTTTTCATTATTGTCCTTACACACTTCAGCGATGATCTCTGCATCGGTTATCTTACCACATACTTCAGCATCTTCATCCACGTTGACAAAATCTTCATAATAGATGGCAGGATTAGAAATGACGTCTTCCCAGCCGTCAACTGAAAGCAGCTCTTCTGTTAAAGTGCACTTAGCGTTTTCTGCGTTCGCCTTCTTTTTTACAAACCCAGCTTTTTTGAAATAGTGTTTTATCGTTTCGGTTGTTACTTTGTCCCACTGTAAGCTTTGTTACACATTCGAGAAGCTTAAAAAATGTCTTTATTTTGAGGGAGTTACAATCTTCCGTCAAGTTTTCAACCAAAAAACGTCTTTATAAATGATTAACATTTATTATGATTCCCTGGTACATAGTCATGTTGGCAGGAAAAAAAATATCTTTTATATTTTCCATCAGTGAGATAGTGTTGCGTGCCGTACAGTGTTCAATAAATAAAATAATAACTTTTTTTTTCTTTAATAACTTTTTTGTCTAATTAAATCAGCCATTTCTCAAAAAGATTACTAGTCATCTCAGCTCTTGCGCTGTTCACATATTTCACTGGTTTTGACTTGACGTTCTTAAAAAAACGGAAATTAGCTGACTTGCCAATGACCACTAGAGGCAGTCTTTCTGATCCAACAGAAATGCCCGTATTTTGTCAGAATTGCATTAAAAAAAAAGATCCGTCTTGTCAACATTAAAGATATTTCTTTCATCTATATCCTGAATCATCTCCTCCAATTTTTTTCCATTGGTTCGCTTCTTGTAGATTAACGACGCCACTTTCTAAACAAATGGAAATGAATGAAATTTTATTGTTTTATTTGAAGCTGTCTAGCTACCCTGTACTCGCCTTAAAATTGTTTCCCCATTTCAATAGCAAATTGTTCAGCTTTGCCAAAGTTTTGTATGTTCAACGTTTACCATGCGACGACATCTTAGCTCAACATGCAGTGACATATTGACGTGATTGCGGTGATTGGTGACAACGCCAACGCATCTCAACTGAAGGGGCGTATCAGCTAGAGGAGAACATAGGTGCCAGATGGCACTTGGTCTTGAACCAAGTGGCGCGTTAGGACAGAAAATAATACTTCCTCTTTTCGCGGAAATTTCCATCACGAAATTGGCATTTTAGCTTGTAGAAAAGCTAGAACTATCCAAAATATAATCGAATAATTTACGACTTTTTACCATTGCTTATGAAATATGGGGACCAGAATAAAAATTCGAATTAAAGATTTCGAATTAGAGAAGTTCGAATTAAGCAGGTCCCATTGTATATTATATTTCCCTGGTTGACGCATAACACAGCCAAAACATTCCAGTTTGCCAT